TATGGCCTTTATTTTGTGGATTTTAAAGCAGCCCTTGAAAGTAACCCACCGGTATTAAACAGTACTTTGGGATTTTTTAACATCACGAAATCTCCAATAATAGCCGATATATTAGGAGGAAACAAAGTCACACGGGGAAAGGGAAGTGTCATCACTTTGGATGCTTCAGCATCTAGGGACCCAGACGTGGAGCCTGGTAACTACACCTCCATGCAGTTCACGTGGCTATGTAAAAGACGAGAAGAAACTTTTCCCACCGGCCCTCTGGATTCGGTTCCAGTAATTACAGCGTCCTCGGGCCCCGGAGGAGGCGGTTGTTTTGGGACGGGTGTTGGAAAACTAGCTTCTAATTTAACTGTGGTGACGTTAGAAACATCTCTAATGACTGTAGATAGGTCTTATGACGTCAAACTTGTAGTAACCAAGGATGACCGAAAGGACGAATTCGTACAAGAAATCAAGATTGTCAGCGGTAACCCGCCGAACGTAATAATCAGGTAACTAATGGTGATTAAAAGTAATCAGCCTAAAAGAAATTTAAAGCACTGAACCATTGGTCTATAGATTACTTGGCTTGATCAGGCAATTCGCTGTTTGGGAAATGTGTCTACGCTCTCTTCCCAAACTCGAGAGAGACATGTGACTGAATTACAGGTCGGCAGGATGATCATGGCGACAGCAGCCACTTAAAGGGATTCGCGCACGATTGTATGTGAGCATCTCTCTCTCCCTCTGTATAGAGCAGATATTATCAGGTTAGCTGTGCCATGCTGATTAAAAGAGGCCTTAACAAGACGAAACCAATATACACGGCTGCTAACTTAATGACTTATTTGACGTATTTTTTTTACCAAATGTTAGTGCTCATCTGTCAGTGACCTTATTATATTATAGATCCATTCACCTTATCACGCACAGGGTGCATAATTGAACACCTCGTCTTGTTTCAAGGTAAAGAATTTCAAACTAAGCTTCCGTATCTTTTCTTTCACTGCAGGTGCCTCATCAACTGTGATAAGATTGCAAGTGAGTCGACGCGAATCAGTTTGACCACCGAGTGCACTGGGGATCCTTGTGAAAGAGCAAAATACCACTGGAAGTTAAACGTTGTTCACTTTGGTGGCGTTGAGGTCAATGACAAGCAACTGACTGACAAAGCAGAAACTAATCTAA